GTGTTTATTCAAATAGGAATGCACTTAAACTTCTGTGTAAAGGAGGGCAAACCTAAGACTTTTGAAAAGTCAAATATGATAGGAATGCTGGACTAAATTTGAGTCCTGTTGTTTGGGGCTTTTTTCCCACCAAAAATATGATGGGAAATATGATTAGAGTCATTTCCCCAGAGCCATCTTTTCCTGACAATACCAGGTTTAATTGCTAACTGCCAAGCTGTGGCAACACATCAGTAATACATCTTTAGGCATATAGTCCTCTAAATCCTGGTAAGGAACTTGAAAAGGAAGTAGTTAAAATGCCAGTGAAAACCTTGTAACCACTATTTCAAAATCAGCTGCTCTCCTTGAGGCCAGGAAATGCCAAACACTGTTCTGCTGAGGAGCAGCCGCGCACAGGAGAGCTGTCCTCGGGCTGTGGCGAGGGTGGCGCCGCAGGGACCAGGGCCACAAGGGGGCAGAGGACACGGCATCGGCCACGCAGGACGGGCGGCAGCTCCGGAGACACCCTCCCCCGGTATTCCGGTCCTTGCGACGTTAGAAACTGTACAGCTTTATAGATAAAACACATATCTCTATGGCATTCTCCATTTCTCTAATCACAGTAAGGACGCATATTTATAATGAATTCAAACTTTCCCACTTGCATTCATGTTTTCCCAATCAAATGCAAATTCTTCCACATTACTTTGCGCTTGTTGTTAGCTGTCCAATTTTAATATATTTTCCTCTCACACTTCTTTGCTTTCTTGCTACAGAAAATTATCAAGCAATAAGCACAACGAGCATTAAGCACTCCAGGAGCAATAGATCATCTACAAGACTGCAGGAGTGCAAATCACCACAATAAAAGATTTTCTGATGTCACCTATTGCTCCTGTAGTTATTACAACCCATCATTCTTGTGAATTCATTCCCTTCTAAATACCACATCTCAGATCTTGTCTTTCAGCAGCAGTTATCTTGCTTTCACTGGGGTTATCTTGATCAGTTCTAAACCAACCAACTAAGGTGGATAAAAAGGAAAAAAAAAAAAAAAAAGATGACTATAATATACATTCACATCATCAACATCAAAGTTCAAGCTACCATTGAGAGACAGAACAAAAAAGGTTTTCCAGAGTCATGCAGTTCTGGTGCCTTCAGTTTTCAGGCAAGCATAGTGTGACTCTCAAATTTAACATAAAGATGGTGCTTCAGTGAAATCTGAATTCTTAAATGTATTTTTATATTTTAATTTTTCTTGTTTTCTTTCCAGACAGGCAGCTAAAGCAATGGACTCTGGACCCTACTGGCCTGTAGTTGATCTAGTTTGCTACTAATTGTTCAATACTAGAAACAAACACTGATTGTTTCATAAAGGTCACAGTTTTATTTTGATTATTTTCTTTTGCTGTTACAGATATTTCAAAGTGAAGTTTTTAATGTAAAAATGAGAATTATGTCACTGCTGGCCATTATAACTTAGCTAGATGTTAGATATTAAAGAAAGTGTTAAAATAAATGTTCCTCTTCACTCTTTCTACTACTGTGTTTGGGAACTTGAATACATTTTCAGAGAAATATATGTTTTTCATGAAGACAAAGAGCAATAAGAGAAAAATTCAACTTGAAGGTTCATCCACTGTCCAAAGGCAAAGTATTCAAAAATATTTTAAGATATTTTATTTCTCTAGTGTTTATTAGAATAAAAAAAATGAGTTCTCCAAATATTATTACAAACACATATATGGATGTTTTTCCTTTCGTTCATACCTCTGTATATAGAGATTTTAACATTTGTTTCTGCAAATAAGCAATGCTCACTTCCTAAGATTGGTTACTGATTATGTATCCCTTAATGAAGCTGAGGCTTTGTAATTAGCACTCAGTCAATTACTATGAAGCCATCTTAATACAGTTAATGTATATATAAATTTTATTTTCAGACACCATTCACAGTTGTGCAAATCCGGGATGATTCCGCTGAGATTAAATTAAATTAGTCCTGAAATGCATCCTCAACAGACTGTGCCCCACCTCTGATAAATATAGAGGATGACACACGGTAACAGTGACACAAAGGGCCACACCTCTGCAAAGCTCACGGGAATAAGGAAACACCTGTTTGTGCTGTGGAAGAACAGGTGGGAAGCGGTGGTTTGCCGGCTCAATATCCTGTGCTTGAGATTACAAAGAACGGTGCTCAGGTGCCTCTCTCTTTTTGCCCTATGAGTTTATTAAGAAGCCGCCGGTGCTTTACACTACCCTAGAGATGCCTTTCCAGCATCGCATGGCTGCCCCCATCTCCCTCCCCGTGTCACCTCGCCGAGCCGTGCTGAAAGCACGCCGTTTTGCCTGCTGGGTAGGGCAGGAAGCCTTAATCACAGCCTGAAAATAATACCCGCTTCCCCCGGGAGCCTCCCTAGCTATTCCTGTGGGATGGGAGAAGCGGAGAGGAGCCAGGTGGGGGAGGCCGGCGCTCCCCGGGCCC